CCACATCATCAAGATAACCTTGAATTAGGACAACAGGACTCAAATGAGCAATATATGTTAGCAATTCTCCATGTTAAATTGTTTCTCAAAAGAATGAAACTTTCACCGTCAAATGTATTGTTTAATAAGTGGGAATTACCGGTCTTATTCATTCACTTGACTCTTTCACCAAATGAACGTTTACCTATCCTCGAACTACTCAAATTTCTCGACGGCCACAATGGCAATGATTGTCAGGAAATTTATTGATTCTCAAAATTGTCAGTTTGGGTTCTTTTGCTCTCTGAAGCATAAGCATAAGAATTCATGGTAAATTAGACGTTTATCTATGAAGACGAGCTAGACATGTCGAGATTTGGAATTTTGCGCGATCTTGGTGTCGCCTACAATGAAAATAAAAGTATGACTGAAAACTATCTAAAATTTAACATTGCGTAGTATAATTGTTTTTATATCATACTGTCGTTGATTGGGCCGAATTGGTTGATCTTTATTGGCATCTGGGCCTCTTGTGCGGATGTCTGGATATTGCCTGTTTCTAGTTATAGTAAAGATGGACAGTAGATGATGGGAGTTTCATTTTGATAGAATTCAAATATTTTGGCCTATCTACTCCTGTTGTTGAATGATAATAGTACTCTCGAGAAACTTATGTTTGCGTCAAAACTTTAGTTTAACAAGTAAAACACTATCTGTTATACATCATATGTGTCAATAATTAGTTCCGAATAACTCATAACAAGCTCAACCAAATGCATTCGCCGTGATTTCAAGGGAGGTTAACGATAATCGTAGTATATTTTTACTCCGTTTGTGAGAAAATATATAGATGATAACCACTTAGATATGCACTAGACTAGATGGGTAATCTCGGTACACCAGCTGATTATACTGCTGTCAATCGATCACAATTACTGTCACCACAGCCCCATTCGATGCATGTCAACACAATGAACTAACGATCCACTGACTTCATCTGTGGATTATGTTCAGGAAGAATACAAACTGAGAAACATCAATGCAGTCAGCCAGTCAGTCATGTATCCACAAGAATAAGGTGAAGATGAGAAGTGATCATGATCTGACCTTCAGGCAAAAATAAACCAATCAGAATAATATCGAGGCCTTTAATCCATCGATATGTACTTAGTAGTCTAATCTCGTATAACAACGAATGGAAAACTGAAATGGCTTGACATGTAGATATGCTGTGTGATGTCCAACAGTTTGTGCCATTTCAAATTCTCCATCACAGCAGGAACAACAAGAATGATCCGACAGTTGTATCTCTTTCCAACACTTTGATTCGCATCACAGACTTATCACCATGAACAATTTACACACAAAAACATACGAAGTGTTTTCACACGGCAACCAAGTTGGCAAAGAAATGCCCATTCAAATGTCACAAACTAGTACAGCGTGATCAGCTTCACTGAGATTAAGTGATAGAATTTAGTGAATTCTCTAAAGTACTTTCTATTGGTAGGATAAGTGAGTTGATATTTCTGTCGAACAGAAAGAAAGAAAATGGCACAGCCTACATGGACATCACAAAGGGAATCTGCTCTGAGGTACATCAAAATGTGTGTGTATTTCAGAGGATAAGAATATGAATTTGACGTAGATGATGAGACAAGAAAAGGGAGAGGGAATCAATGTTCACTCTGTTGTGTAACTAAATATCAGTGGAACATACTGTCACATACACCAGTTAAAATGCATGTCGTAATCAGAATGTCTGTAATTCATGTCATCACTACACTACATGAGACAATTTCAGACACAATGATGGCAGTCTATACAACTACAGATTATGATTTATCTGGTAGGTGATTCTCTTCTCCAAAGTCAATTGAGCATATTTATGATGAATTCGGATGGCTGGTGAAGTCATTTCCAATTGAATCATGATAGTTTGTGTGAACGAAATCGAGATGAAGGTAGTTCTAGAGAAATGTGGAAGTGTTTATTGTTAATGAGTGTAGGTTTTCTACTTGTATCTGTGTAAATGGTGGTTCCAGAGCATCGTGTTCAGTCAGTCAGTTAACTGTTTAGAATTTTCTCTCTTTCCATAACAATGAATTCAGTTAAGGGATGATCATTGAGCGAGTCAGTCATTTGTTGTTTAGAATGTATAGATGAATGACAGTGTAGTCTTGAATGTCACATGTTTGGTTGATTATTTTAGCAAATAAGTCACTGTGAATACATGCATTCACATGATGAATGGTTATTTGAACTGTGATTAGCTATTGTTGTCAGTTAATGGATTTTCGTTTTGGTGTAGTAGTTTATTTTTGCAAGGGAACAATTCTGCAAGTATGCACAGTCGTGTGGATTAATGTTGGGTTGACTGGAAGGTCATCGGTATGAGTTTGCATTCACCAGTGAAGTCATTATGTAAGACAAGTAGGAAGGATGCATTGGTGAGGAAATAACAAGTGATGGACTTCAACGAAGTCAGTGGATAACTACTGGTTTTCTGCTCCCTGTATCTTGATTACTAGTTCATGCTCTCCTACATACGTGCAGTATCACTTTTTTCAGGTATGCAGTTTGGAAGTTTGTAACGGTTAATTTCAAGTTGAAGAGTCAATGAAAATGTAGGGGGAGTGATTAGCTGCTTCCTCCTAGTATGTGACTCATCAGTAATTCACACTGATGACTCCCCGGCGATCAAACCCAGTTTCCTATTCACAAATTCGGCATAGAGGAGATTTTAATGTTCCCGACTAAAATGTTTCATTCATCCATTCTGCCATCGACTGGATTCATAAAGAAATCACTCATCTTTCTTGTTTGTCTTGTGTCATTATTTCTGTTAACTATATTGCTTGACTTATGATTACATGTTATCAACAGCAAAATCATTTCTAGAAGTTTCGTTTTGATTCAGCGAAGTGATAGTTTGTCATTTCACATCTGTTCGAATCTCAGAAACCTGAGACAGTCTAACGACTATTTATCTTTTCTTTTGACTTCAAGGTTTCCGTGATATTATGTCGGCATATTGAACGACTTCATCATGGTGTGTAACACATCATTTCTAAGCAACAGTTGTTGTGTATGCTTGATTCTCAGTTTTATCACTCAAGAGATAGATGCCAAGCTAAATAGCAGTTTAATTATTCGTTTTATATTTCCTCCTCGAATCGATCACCACCTGCACTTCGTCCAGGAATACCACCTGCAGCCCAGCCACAGAACTACAAGTCAACACAAATCCTCCAACAAAAGTCGAAGTCATGAACGTCATAAAGCTACTGAAATGTGGGAAAGCAGCGGGACCAGATGGAATCCTACCAGAAGCACTGAGAGCAGACGCAGGGACAACATTGGACAAACTCACACGATTATTGCGAAGGTCCGGAAGGAAGAAAAGGTACCTGCCGGTTGACTGGAAGGTTGGTTACCTTGTCAAACTCCCGAAGAAGGGTGACCTAATTGTTTACAAGAACTGGTGCAGGATCACGCTACTGTCCACCACAAGGAAAATATTAAGTTGCATCATACTGGAGAGACTAAAGGATGCGCTGGATTCGAAACTACAACCCGAACAGGCTGGCTGGGTTCAAGAAGTACAAATCATGTGCAGATCAAATTCCAACGCTTCACATCATCATAGAACAGATTATAGAATGGCAGTCAACTCTCTACTTCAACTTCATCCACTTTGAAAAGGTCTTCGACAGCGTCGACTGAGAAGTAATTTGGCAGGCAGCTGCTTCAACACTACGCAATATCACAAACCTTTATCAATCTCATTCAACAATTATATGAAGACATGCCAAGTAATTCACAACTGGAAGCTCAGTGATGCCTTTGAAGTGAAGACAGGAGTGAAACAAGACAGTCTACTGTCACCCATGATATTCCTGATTGTGGTCGACTGGAGTGGATCATGCAACGAACAGTGAGGAGCTGTGAGAAGACGGGGATATGCTGGCTGGACCTGGGAAAAGAACCTATAAGACTTGTATTTCGCCGATGACTTGTGTCCGATTCGTACAAACTGGAAGATCTACAGGCGAAAACTAACAAGTTGACAGAAAAGGTGAGGCAGCGAAGACGGGACTTCAAGTGAATGTAGAGAAGACAGAGGTGATGATGATACCCAACCAACAACACCACCAACAACAACAAGCTTCAGTCACCATCAGTGGGAGAAACTTAAAAGAAGTAGCCTCTTTCACCTAACTAGGCAGCACTGTTTCAACTGCAGGCAGCGTCACAGACGAGGACGTCAAAGTCAGGGTCGGAAATACAGCAAGACAAGCGTTCATTAGCCTGAAACCAGTGTGGAGATCTTCTGCACTGCACTCAGCATAAGGCGTGAACAACATCCGGATTCTCAACACCAATTCAGTCAAGTCAGTCAGTGCTTCCATGTGATGGTTGAGAAGCTTGGTGCATTACGAAAAGCATTTCCAACAAACTAAAGACATGCATCACATGAACAGCTGCCTTCTACGCTCACTCAATATTGAAGATGGAAATCAGATGACCAGAATAATAAGAATAAGCAAGGAGGAACTCTGGCTGACTAACTGGCAACGAACCAACCACCAACCCATCTCCTAACAAATATACAGAGTAAGAAAGTGGAGATGGATCACGCATCCACTGAGAAGACGATTTGGGGACATCACGCACCAGGTCAGGTCAGGCTAGACCGTCGAGTGGAAACCAAGTAGGAAACGACGAATTGGGCATCTGACCCGGTATGACATGAAGGAGATTGTATGAGGAAGAAGTGTAAGGTTGTGGGCAGTGGTGGAGCCAGGTTGAAAAGATTACAGATTAGAGAGTGAAATGTTGACATGCTATTGAAGCCGTATATATTCTACTAGGAATGCAAATGACAAATAAATTATTGCAATATAAATATATTATTTATTCATTTTTTTGTATTTTATTCAATTCCTCTTGAATATCTCACTATACAATATCAATTATAAAATCGTCTTGATCCTGTTTTACTTTTCCATGAATTGTAGCCAGTTTTTGAACATCCATTTATTCAAGAACCAGATAATTTTCCAAAAGAAAAGTTGAAAATTCTTATCTGGGAAGAGATACAACGATTTCAAAATAATAAGAAAAATAATGATGATATGATGTTTATGAAGTCTGAACAAACTGGTAAGTTCAATTGATGATTTATATGTGTGTTGTAACTTTTAGTAAAATATTCTTTTATTACATAATTAACGCCTTTATATACAACTACAATGTCTCGTTTTGCCTCTATTCACTCACAGATTGACATGATGATAATCTATCTCTCAGACATACAGCTTTAACCTCTGTTCAGTAGAAGACAACAATACTGCTCACTATCCTTGTCATTTCTAACCTAAGTCACACATGTATACATATGAATTACGCATTAAACTCTTATAATGAGGTGAATAGGTTGACTGACATTAAAGGTCACCTTAAAAGCTATTAAATATGATCCTTTCTTTTTACAGTCAGACGTTTGTAGCTTAAAGGATTGTTTAGCTTCAATGAAAATTACTCTATGTTCATATCTGCTTAGTGGCTAGCAGGGAGTCAAGGACATGCTTATCATCTCATTTTGGACTCGTCAGTTGGCTATACCTGCAACTCGATGAGTGATTTTGTTCCCATTGAAACTTGAATTTTGTATTCATGAGAGTCACCTCTTCTGTAACAGTTATCATTTTTGTACAAGATCGATTGCTCGACCTATGTAGGCAGGTGTGGTTGTATATGGAGGCCTCGATACTATCCACTAGGGGATAACACTTTGGCAGTTGAGATGATTATTACTGGGTTCAGGTATAAGTGGGACGAATATAACTCACTGAAGTTCAGGCCCATACAGCTGATGGATCCCAAATAGGTCAAAACTCATGTCATGCGTTCTACTGTTGGCCACTAATCAGGCATCAACATAAGGAGTAAGAAAGAAGTATCTAGGCATCCGTATAGGAGCCTGTCTGCTAACAGAAGTCGAGAGATTCAACCGTGTATAGCATCGGGAAACAGTAGGTATCTAAAACAATGAACATCTCTGCTTCTCTTCAGAACTGAACACTGAAGTTTGAAATAGTTCATCTTTCAATAGTGATTGTTTTTTTTCTAGATTAGCTTCAAATGAGAAAAGGAATTCTCAGTAATTATATCGCACTAGGACTTTAAAGTCACCTCTTCGTACTAAAAAGATAGAATGTATGCGATGGTTAGGGTTAAAACCGGTGTTTTACATTGAAAACCTTTTCATCACCTATAAACATCAATTAGATCAGCTTTGGAAACTAGTGATTATGCTTTTTAGCGACTTCTCAGAAATGCATACCTGTGAAGCCAATATGCCTTGGTTAGAAATACGTATAGAAATCTCATAGGTGGATTATAGCCTACTAGAGAGTGTAGAACACGTCATAATTATGCGTTTTATATAGGTGGATAAAAAATCAGTAACTACTACAGAGTATATGCATAGTACATGTGTTTTGTTGTACACTGTGAATATATAGAGTTTCCGGCTTAGAATAAGGTGAAATTGTAGATGTTTATACTCAAATGAAGTCGAATATACCAGTCTATGAACAATTATTGCCTTGGCTTCATAGTTTAACTGACTTAAGATGAATCCTAGGAAAGATCAGGGATGAATGATTTTAGTATAGATCACATAGACAACCACTAAACAGTTGACTGCCCGAATTCAGTTGAAGTTTAGTTGAAAACGTTTCGGTGTTCTTAGCAATATTTTGTTGGTTTCTGTTTCCCTAGGATTTAGGTACAACCAGCAGACGAGTCCTAAACAGGACGAAATTCAGGTCCTGGATTCTACTGCTGGTCACCGCTGAACAAATTATAACTCAGTAAATCTTAAGACAATCTTGGGGTATCTGCATAGGAGTCAGTGTACCGACAGAGATGGTTCAGTTCCATGCAGTATAACAGATGAAAAATTATATGAAATTTTTTACAGCTTTATTCACCTCTATTGTGTAGTAAAACTGTGATATTCTTATCAGAAAGTTTCAAATTCAATGTTTTTTTTTAGGGTCAAAACATTACTCATTATCCTTCTGTGTTTTTCTTTCGATCCTTCAGAGGAGGTGACTTCAACGGCGACAACAACAAGAGCGATCGGAGCATCATCAGGTGTACCAACATTCACTTCTCAACCTTGAGAGCAAGATAATCTAGCCTTTTAATAATTCAGAGACTTTTATTATTTTAAAACTGATTATCATATACACTGTGCAGTTAACAATTGCTGTGTCATCAACAAGCTGTATATGTGAAACGCATTGGAGAAAGATGAAAGCTATCCGATTGCTTTATCCACCAGTCTGATGATAATATCTATATGCTGTGAAGAGAGGTTGACTAGCCTTCTGATATGCAGTACAGTACAGTCTGGTTTTTAGTTTCCAATTCATTCTTGTTATTCAGTATATTGTCGAAACAGACTACCTATCGTGTAAAACTTTGAACATTCAACTTATTTACACTACTTTAACCTTATTAGTATTATGAAAGCAATACTGGAAAGAAAAATAAACCGATTTATTTTGTTCAGAGTTTCTTAAATGAATTTATCTCTTCCTTACTTCATTGTACTAACTGTTACTTCTAAAGAGAAAAAAACATTTTATGATCAGTGAACTTTTAATTACCCCTTACCTATCCATCTTATCTAACTAAATTTATTCTTGAATATAAAGATTATGCTTCAATATTTTCATTTCTTTATGAATTATCATTACTAGTTTCATGATAAACGTGCTAACTGCTCTGCTCTTCAGTGAAGTTTTCAATTGAATACAGCTGAATTTGTTTAAATTAACTAACTCTTTATAGGCACATTTGTACGCGCGTGATTAAAAGTTGAAGTGAAAAGTTTTACATGAAAATTCTGTAGAATATTGAATATTCTTTTTCTTTTCTTATCATTTATTATCATCATTATGATTGAGTGCTGATTTCGGTAACACTGAAGTAAGACAGATCTCTTTGTTTAAAAAGTATATATATACATATATATTTTAAAATTCCCAGTTTTCATCATTCATTGTGTTTTTATTATTATAAACAAAAGTTGCTATTGAACATTGAAATAAGATCTATATACTTGTGTTTCAACGCTTTCTTATGCAGTTGCTTCAATACATCTACTCCTTCCTCTTAAGTATTGTTGCCACTGTGTACTCTAATCATCTTAATGAATATAGCTGTGATCTTTATGCTGACATCTCAACAACAACAACAACAAAAAAATAGGTAAAAATTGAATATGACCTTGTTTTATCAAGGTTATTTTAAAAGCTTATATAAACATTTTAATGTTATTATGACATTGTTGTTGAGATTAATTATACACAAGCTTTTTCACCAAGTGCAATGAACATCTTCATATACAGGAGTGCTCATGAAGAATGAAACGCCATACAAGCGTAGGCTATAAGGCAAAAAACTGATTTTTTCTTTCGCATGTACACATGCAGATATGCATATCTCTTATTCTGTAATTCTTACATCCAAATAAACTAAATACACTTCATAGATTCATTTCAAACAAGTTTCTCTCCTCTTCCTTATCAAAACTAACATTATCAGACTTTCGTCTCAATTATAAAACAGAAAAACAATAATAGTTTAATCGAAGGATTAAGTATACGATTTATTTTCTTTTGTTAAAGCTATTTTTCAGTATTATATGAAGGGAGGTCAGATTATTTGTTTATTTAATTGCCTTCTATTCACCTATTTCACTTCAATCAGTCTATTTTAATTTCATGCAAAAATAATCAATACAATTGGGGAATAAACATTTGAAGAAAGAAAGAAAAAAATTTATCATCGGATTTTCCTCATAGTTTTACTTGTTTCTCTCCAGTTTTCTTTTCTCCATTTTCACCTTAAAGCCTAAAGTTATTATATGAGATTCTGTCCGCAGTATTGAAATTTTGAAGAACTTTAATACAATAGAAAAAGGATTTCTATCACTTATTTTTTTAATACTTATTTTTCCTTTCCCCTACTTCACCCATAAATGTTTTTGCATGAGAGATGAGCTACTTATAACTTTTAAAGTAGTCAGATTCTTATTTACGAAACTTATCCTAACACGAGTGTAAATTCATGAATGATTTTATTTCATCAAACGATTTATTCATAGTTTCCGAACTGTCTTCATTTCATCTTCAATTTTTCTCATCTTCTTCCTTCAGTTGTTGTATGCATTATGTTATATATACTTAGAGTTATGTAACACATTGTGTGCGAAAATAAATTTACTTTACAATTGTTTTCCTTTACAATACCCTTCAACTTCTCTCACAGCGACGTAGTTTAAAAATAGGAAATTTATTCATCTGTACCCCTGAAGAGTATTTCAAGATTTATCAAGAAGCTGGATGAAGGCACTCAGAAGGAGGCTGTGAGCCTAAGTTTCGTGCTGTATCTGAAATTTATAGGGAACTAATGTCTTGCCTGAAGTGCTGAAGTCAGAAACGTTATCGCCTAGGTCACGATTGACCTCCCCTACTACTGGATTGAATGTGTCACGGAAATTACAAGTATCATTGCATCAACTGATAACCATTGCACAAGAGGTGGCTATTGTGCCCCAGTGATTTAGTGGATAACGTTCTGCTATTTGAATGGAAAGGTAGTGGGTTAAAGCCTCGGTCGAAACAACACCACTCACTGGAATACGGGTGCATCCAGCTGACGAGTCCTAAATGGGACGAAAAATACATCCCGAATCTCTCTACTAGTCACCGAGATCGGTATAGCATCAATAATTCTCAGTTTAACTATTTGAGATAGCCATGATTTGAAAGGCTTGTATTGACATCGGATGATGATTGGAGGTGAAATAAAAATCGAGGTCAGGGCAGGATTAAAGCCAATGAATAACGGAATTGCAAGTTTTCTGATGAATATTTCCTTACAAAACTGCTTCTGATGTTTTTTCCCGTTTAATAGTTTGTCTCTGATCACACTGCGTGAATGTATGTTGCTGCGATAGCATGCGTGAGTTATATCATGATGCAACCAAACGCCAAATGTCGACAAATTTCAGCGATCTCAATAACACAGTGAATAAATCAAAGAGTAAATGAGCCAGACAATGTCTTCAATAGCAGGACCAACTACTGATCGCTCCCATCCAATCAAAATACAGCGCAACGGTGAGTCTCCTTCCTGTCATGGTGACCACATTGGTAAATGACTGACAGAATCTGGGCAGCGCATAAAACTAGACAACATGAAGTTGGCTATCCTCCAGTGATCAGTCAGTGTAAAATTCTCATTCTAAATCGCTTGAATATTGTATTGATTGGCTACGGGAGTGCAACCAATTTCGTGATGTCTAATCCTGAATGCAGACCGAATCTTGTCAATCACATTTGCAAGCTAGGAGGCTCAGCGTCGTGGTGCACATTAGCAGATGTTAGTTGGATGGAGACCATCAGCAAGAAGCCCTGCTTGACCTAGGTTTAATGTTTGTTGGCACTCGTAAGCAAAGCGTATCTGCAACCTCGACGGAACTAATATCTCACCTGAGATTCGAACCCGCGTCACCCAGTGTTATAGTCAGCGACCCATGACCAATCAATACATGTAGCCCAGTCCTACATGGGGTCAGTTGCACCCCGAGTAGCTCAGTGTTAAAGTCGCTGACTACAACACTGGGTGAAGTGGGTCCGAATCCCGGGCGGGGTATCAATCTCGTCAGGATTATAGATTCGCCTTGCCGACCACTACCAATAAGCACGATTTGTTTGTGGAATTAAATTCTGCCACAGTGCCCGGGTTTTACACCTATATTAATACAGAACTTTAATTGTTTACTTCAGTAGTTGCAAAGACTGTATTTACAGTCACTCCATTTTTAGTTGCCTTTGACTTCCATTCACTGTATATCAGCAACTAGATACATTCGAAAAAGCTGTTTATGCAGAATAGCATTTATTTATCGCATTTGAGGATATCACACGCCAGACTAGACCCTCGAGTGGAACCCAAATGGGAAACAACGAGTTAGGCGTCTGAGCCAAGGGTGACATGGAGGAGATCGTGTGAGGAAGAAATGAAAGCTTATAGGCAATGGTGCAGCCAGGTTGAAAAGACTACAGAGAAGAGACTGAAATGTCGACTTGTTACTGAAGCCATATGTTCCACTATGAACCCAAAGGACAAATAATAAATAAATCGTACTTCGGGGGGTTTCTCATCAACAGCTTACAATTTAAAGCAGTTTTTAACATGAAAATATCAGAAATTTTCACAGACTTGAATTACCCTGATAGAATATTATATTGTCTTGAAGAAGAGATAACATTATTGTTAAATATTTGTTCATTGGAAGAAGGGAGACCTAAGCGATTGCAAGAACTGGTGAGGAATTATGCTGATGTCCACCCCAAGCAAAATATGGAGCCACATCATCCTGGAGCGACTAAACAATGCGCTGGATTCAAAATTACGAAGGGAGCAGGCTGGTCGGTTGGCTTCAGGAAGAACAGATCATGCGTGGATTAAATTGCAATGCTACGCTACATATCATAATAGAGCAGAGTATAGAAGGGCAGCCACCTCTCTACCTCAACTTTGTCGACTTCAAAAAGGCCTTCGACAGCGTCGACCGAGAAGTAATTTGGCAGTTGCTTCAACACTACAATTTTAGTGCCACAAACCTTTATCAACCTCATTCAACAGCTATATGAAGACGCCAAATGACAAGTGATCCACAATGGAAAGCTCAGTGACGCCTTTGAAGTGAAAACGGGAGTAAGACAAGGCTACCTACTATGACCCATGATCTTCCTGATTGTGGTGAACTGGACTGGATCATGCAGAACACCGTAAGGAGTGGGAAGACGGGTATAACTGGACCGATGAAAAGACACTAGAAGAAGATTTGGAATTCTCCGATCATAAGGCGAAAACTAACAAGTTGACAGAAGAGGCGAGGCAGCTAAGACGGGACTTCAAGTGAATATAGGGAAGACGGAGGTGATGAAGATACCCAACCAACAACAACAAGCACCAGTCACCATCAACGGGAGAAACCTACACCTACCTAGGCAGGGCAGCATCGTTTCAACTACAGGCGACGGCATAGGCACAGACGAGGATGTCAATGACAGGATCGGAAATACAGCAAGATAGGCTTTCA